ATGCTGGCTGGGGAATTCTGGGAGTTCAAGTCCACACATCTTAAAATGGACAACATTGAGAAACAATGATCTAGAGCAAGATACAAGTATTGTGGAAACTAAAGGAAATAGCATTAACAGTACTATTGCATTTAGCATACATTGAAGTGGAAAACTGCCAGTTGGCTCCAACTAAGTCACTTTTAAATCAGAAGAGAAGCTTCTCAAGAATGGGAGGTGGGTGAAAAAGACATTGAAAGGAAAATTCAAAAGGGCCACATTTCTTCATAATCTCAGAAGGCTATGAAGAAAGGATTCACCAAGTCAAGAAAAAAAACAAAACAGGGCTACTAAGTGGTGTCCAGGGAATTGTAAAAGTTAAGAAAGAACTTTTTCCTTCATTTCATTTCCTTCCAATGGAAAATTTGCCCTAATGAGAAGAAAAGAAGTAAAGAAGTAACTCCAGAAAAGATTTAAAGTGTTGATATTGTGGGAAATTTTAGGCTGATTGGCTTCAGGCTGGATCGAGTTGGGTCACAGCCTATGCAAAAGGGCAATTCTTACATTTCTAGTGAGCAGGACATAGAAGCATCAACCCCCCCGCCCCATTCAGACATTACCTTAAAGTTTTCTTCAGTTAAACCTTCATTGGTTTTTGAATTCCTTATCATTGCAGCAACATATCTCTTCACCAGATTTCTGATCACTTCCTGAAATGATAGGCAGAAGAAAGTTAACATTCTTCCAAGTCACCACAATATTCAGTCAAGGCAAGAACTACAGACCATACATGAATATTTGCTTTTCCTCTGAAATTATTTGAAAGCAAATTCTGTTATGTTAAACTGAATGAGAAAGATGGAGATATTTACCAATAAAAGAAAGAAAATGCAAGAGGCTTTTTGAGAATAGCACAACAGTGATGCCTTCTCTCTCTTTTTTTTAACGTAAAATACTACTCTATTGTAATTTGTTGTTGTTTAAAAAAGCATACTTCTTGCCACCTGACTCTTTTTGTAAGATGTACAGCTGAATCCTTAAAGGATTGTAGGCACCTCTCTAGAAACGCTTCAGGGAATGAGAGAATGCCTGGGCTGCAACATACTGAAATTATACAAATTCAGAGGGTCTAAAATAGAATTTAAAAATTGATGCATTTTACACATCTCCAGAGAGGCCATTGATTATCCTGTTAACTCGAGATATTACCAATAAATTAACTGAAAAGTTATTCAGAAGCAAAGAGTAAATTATATCTACAGAATTAATAGAATGGCTGTGAGTCAGAAACCCTGACTGATCTGGGAGCGTGCTAAGAATGCACTGAATGCAGTGGGGAAAATTAATTCCATAAGCAGAAAACAATTCTGATATTAGAGTGAATTAAGTGATTAGCTAATTAGGCATAAATGACAAATGAAACTACTCCAGTTGTATATAAAATGGATTCCTTCCTTGAAACAGGTTTACTTCATCAAATGACTCTACAACCTGAACTAAATTGTGTAATTTCCCTGATAACATTATTTACGGTGTATTAAAGCAAAGGGTTATTAAGCAAATTAAGAATGAAGCCCTCACAAAGTAGGCTTCAGGAAATCAGTGGGAATGCATGCAACAGAAAGTAAATACAGAACATAAGAATGGTGTTCCATGATTAAACTAATAGGCAGATAATCCAGCAGCAGCTGAATTGATACAAAACTCTGCATTGGTTGATATACTATGTTTGTTCATTTATACCTGTGGCTGTATAGATGTTTTTGGATTCCAGTTGGGATCCTTAACAACCTGGGATAATGGCGGTCATTCCAACAACATGTAGAAGGTTGCATGCCTCTTAAGCCTGAAATAGTGTCTAAAATGTCATCCTATGAGAGTCAATTTCATACATAAATCACTGCATGAAATTGTTCTTTCTGTTTTTGGACATAAGGACAAATTTAGTCCTAGTCTTCTTCATTGAGGAGCTGGGACATAGGGTTGAAAGTGAGGACGTTGGTTTTTCTCAAAATATTTGGAGGAACAAAATAAACCTTGGGAAGATTCCACACTTCCATTTCAGGATTCAGGGTCTGCTAGATAAACATTGCATTCCATTATCAGAATTCAGACTCCAGCATAAAAAATCAAGCTAAACTACAGAGGCCTATGCAGGCCACAGAGACTTCCCTTCCCTTCTGAACATCAATTCACCCAACTCACATCTCAGGGCTTCCAGATTGGGGCTGCAAAAATCCAGAGGCCCACTAGAAGGCAGCAGAAACGCAGAGAACCATAGTTGTCCAGTGTAATTTTTTTTTTTAATTACTTACTTTCAAAGAAAATAATCCTTTTTTTTTTTTATTCTTCTTTCTGCAGATTTTAATCCAGGGAAAGTTGCTATTTGAGATTGAAATGTGATGGGAATAGAACTCCTGGTTTTGCTTCTACGGAAATTAATGCTTCATTTCTACCTCTCTGTCTCTCTCTCCCTATTCTTCACAGTTTGCTATCTGGCAAACAGATGGAGGTGTTTCCTCACAAATTATTCCTGTTTTGCTGTTTGATCAATGAACCTTTAAAATAGCATCAAACACAAGAACAGATCAAGCAAGATAATTACTCTTCTACTTTGTCCTGCTGTAAAAATCCCCGCTAGAAATGGTATTGGAGCATCTTGTATTTTGCCTTGCGGTTTTAAAGGCATTAAGATAATGCAGTGGAATTATTGGCACAGTAAATTCTTTAATCTTGGTCAATCTCTTAATTGGAAGTTAAACAGGTTGGGAATAGGACTCATGAGTTGCATGAAAATACAACAGGAGTTGTTCATCTGGTCTGAATTTTCTTACATGGGCTGGGGCTAGATGAATTCTCCTTTAGAAAAAGCACTTATAAAGTGTTGTAGGACTTGAAATGTCATTTCTGTAAACCATTGTTTCCCAGTTTCAACCACTTCAAGACGTGTTGAAGTCAACACACGAACTTGGGAAACACTGTTATAAGTTGTCTCTTAAGAGCCGTATTTCAACCCAACCCAACCAGATGTGTGTCGATGATGCTCAATAATTTAGGAATAATATGAAAACAAAAACCAGAAGTCAGAGTTTCACTTTTTTGGGCACTAGGACAATGGGTGGAATCCTCTTTCTCTGCCAAGCAAATAAGGGGTTAATGAGGCTTCCTGTGAATCACTATTTGTGAGATTTTGGCCACTCCCAAATCAGACAGCTAAAACAAGAATCAAACCACTTTATGAATAGTCCCCCCTCTTTTTTTTTTTTTTTAATGAAGCTCTGACATCAGCCTAATGGTTTAAGTGGTTAGATTGTTCTGAAGGAGAGTTTGCATTTTAATTAAAATTTGGAATATTGCATTTGATCTCGTGAGATTCAAGGGTCAGCTGCTATCATTGGGCCCTGAATAAAA